ACAAAATTGTACGCTTTTAGTAGGCTACAAGTACAGTTGTAATGGAACGTTTGTTCACAGCACAGAATTCTACAATTTTTCTGTTATCACAGTGTAGAATTCTGTGGTTTAGGGTGAACGCAAAATTTGTTGACACGCGCACCGGGTGAGAATAGCCACAAGACCCGCCTGCACTATTCTCACCCCGGGTGAGAATAGAGGTGGCCATTACGGATCCGTAGGTATTAATACGCACTAGCCATAACAGTTGGGGGTTTCAGGGGCGCAAGCCCCTGATAGTGGGGGGTTTAATTTTTAAAAACGAAGTGACTTTTTCTCCAAACGTTCTGGAAAATAAACTTGGAACTCTTTTCTCCTAACAGTTTCCGTTCTCAAGATGTTTTGGTTATTTGCGAGAGTTCGGGGTTATCTTTCTTTCTGCCATAGAAACATTTTTTGCATAGAATTCAATTGCTAGAGCTAGAGAATTTTTAAATGTTTGAATGTTCAGATACTTCATATATTTATGGTTGGGGCAACGTTCCTGGACTATACTTCATTTGAAAATGCCTTCAAAAGATGCTGCGAGAAAACAAGACTGCTCGACTTTGGCAGTAACCTATTTGGCATATATTAGTACAGTCCGTGCCGGCTTTAAGCACGTTTCGGACTCAAGCACGCTAAACGGCTCTTACTGAATTTTTGCAATATAAACTACACGCCTTTAAGCATGGTAACTTCGGCTTCAAGCACGCTTTATTTACAAGACAGTCAATACTTTCATGATGACCTATCGAAGTTCGAACACAGTCTACACCGCAGCAGTGAGTGTGTTAATTAAGAGAAACACAAAGAACGCAAGCGACGGAGACACACACTCACACGGGCGGAGAGGAAGGCAGAGAGATGCACACAGCCGTGCGCGTGGACATAGATCCAGCCTAGGGCAAAGCTACATACAGACGAATAAGATACAAAGAGAGTCAGGGAGACGAGAATTGGAGGCTGGCTGCGATTTCACCTTTGACCATCGCTATCAATTAATCCTGATTGTGTATCACGCGCGAGGTGGGATCAAGGCGGTGGTATGAATGTGGCACAGCGGGCAGTGGTACGCACAGGCAGTGTGTAGGCCTAGTGTGCTGTATCGTGACTGGCCGTCTAAATCAAATTTTTATTTCCCATTCGACCACAAAACAAAAACAAACAGGCAAACAAAAACTACCATGGTAGGTAAAAATAAGAGTGCACACTTTTGCGGGACCACTATATAGGCCTACTTACAAACAAAGGGAAATAGCACGGGAAATTTTCCACCTGAAAATCTCTGGATTATGTCTACTTCGCACTCAAGCATGCTTCGGCTTTAAGCACGCTTAAAAGCTTTCTCCCGATGACTGTGCTTAAAGCCGGCATGGACTGTAATAATAGTAATTTAGTCACCCCTAAAGCAAAAACTGTATCACAAAAAATCCCCCCCCCCCCAGTTCAGACCTTACACACACACACTCACAACATACACACACACACACACGCAGACTCTCTCTTAGGCACACACACGCACACTCTCTCTCTCTCTCTCGCACGCACACACACATACGCATGCACGCGCGACAGGCCACTCCATTATTAAAATCTCGAGAACAGAAACCGTTTTGAGAAATAGTGTTCAAGTTTATTTTCCTTAACGTTCGGAGAAATAGAGCCGGCCTTTAAAAAAAGCTCACAATTTTCACGTTTACATGGCAATCAGTTTCAGAATGGCTGCCAATGGAACAGCCTAGGAAGGCAAATTTCCAAAGAGCGCCCATTAAGATGCACTGTTAAAGTTAAGCGTTTTGAGTAGCTCCCTTTCTATTTGAAAAGCCACGTTCTGAATAGCACCCATGCTATTTGAAACGCCAGTACTAGATCTGGATCTAGATTATATCTAGTAGCCATCGTTTCTAACATAGGTTCTAATAATATTGTAGTTTTTCCTGAATTGTGGAAGCTTTCTGTTTCTTGAAACCTCCTAGAATTTGACTCCTCTTTTATGATGTTGTCTTATTCCGATCAATTTGGGTAGCTAGATCTAGATCTAACAATTGTTTCTGACTCTGACATTGTTTGCACAAAAGTAGTCTTGTTCATGATCTCTCATCATAATTATTTGAGTTTGAGCAAGTACCGTAAGTCAAAAGACGCTTGGATACAATAACAAGACGGTGCAACTCGATCTAAGCACTTGACTATTTCCTTGTCCACAGTGTCGTCATACAATACCTAAAAGTAAATTTCAAATATAAATTTGCTTCGCCAGTGTGTATACCATAATAATACTCTGCATCACAAGGGAATTGACCGCCAGAGGTACACACTAGAGTTCTACACACACATACACTTGGTGGCTGCTTGATTCTCTTTTCCACACTAGTCTTGTCTCTGAAATGACAGGTCTGAGGTGGCCTAGGACTAACGACCATTGGGGGGGGGAAAAACTTATGCCTACAGGGTCCTTGACTCTCAAATTGCTTTCTTTAGTTTTAATTTACGTACCTATGCCTACAGGGTCCTTTGACACTCCAATAGCTTCTTTTTACTTTGAATTTTTACATAAAGTGTAGATGGAGCTGTACATGTGGTTTCTACTCGTGAACCTCATTTTCATTTTTGTCAAACTTGGAAAGTTTTACAAAATACAAATGAAACAAAGTTTCCGAAGTCAAGAGAGGGTGTAAACTTCTGTCCTTCAGACTTTAGAAGTTGAAATTCTGGGTTTGGTGAATTGTTTTTTTTTTGTCTTCAGGAAGACAATCAATACCATTAATTGCAAACCAAGACACAGACAATGAATAAAAATCCACAATGGGTTTTTGGGGATCATTTTTAATTTCACTCCTGCACAGATGCACAGTTTTTAGAGACTACATCGTCATCTTTTTAGCTGTTTAACTCAATATTTATGTGAGGCATCTTGGTGAAACCAGACGCTCTTCACAATACTGAAATATAAATATAGCATTTTTCTTCCCGCTGGGTGATTTTTTAATCAAATTTTTGTTTTATGGCTGAACACCTCCTACTATAGTTATCATTTAAAAACACATTCACGAGTGGATTTTACGGAAAAACATTGAGTAAAGGTACTAAAAATGTAAATTTACAGTTTCCATGGAGCCTCCAGCTTTGGAAGTCACCAAACTTTGGCGACCATTTTCTTGCTAATTTTACCTGAAACGTGTGACCCCCACTTTCTTCAATCCAAAATACATATGTATCTCCATCTGTATTGAAGATAGATGGGTAATTTTTTCACAGAAAGCAAGACAAATGAACAAAGCTTTAAGATTAAAATGATACCGAAAACTCTATATGCCCAAAAATTGACGAACACCGGATTCCACCGTGTCGGGACACATGTAAGTCGTCCACCTGTCTATGACTAAGACGACCACTTTTCTTCTCAACAAGTTTGATTGTATATTCTTTCTGGTTTCCTCAGATTGTAAAAATATACCTTAGACTCATCCGACTTCATTGTCATAACCTTTGTCATGGGTACGTGGCACGTGTTTATGGAGGCTATGGTTGTTCTCCTGCTCGTCATGCCTGAACCATCTGTTGGCCGCTCCTGGTGGATGGGGAACACTGAAAACTTGTCTTGTCCTTGCAGCAGGCTTGAATGGTGTCAGCCGATCAGCACCAAGACTGAAAAGGAGGTTTGTTATGATTAAATTTTATGAAGATTTTTTCGGTTAACATTTCTTCTGCTTTGTGTGAGGTTTGTAAGTTGCTGTTTTATTAAGTTCTTTTGTTAGAATTTCTCCATCAGTAAGTGTAACTCTATTTTTTTCGTTTCATAAATATCTTTTGTTGGCCTTTCTGGCAATAGTGTAAAGTAAAGTTGTTCTCGCATCCGATCCGGACATTGGGGATTGCCTTGTTAGTGAGACAACTTCCAGGGCCTTTGGCATATTGTGGTAGGGTGACCAGTTCCTTTCCACGCACCTTTACTTCCCTAACTCAAAGTCAGGTACCCATTACTGCTGGGTGGGCAGGAGGGGGTGAAATAAATCCGAGTCTGAACTGGGGCTCGAACCCGGACTTTCCGCTTCGGTGACAAGCGCACTAACCGCTCCGCTACCGCACCCTCTTATATATATTATTATATATGAGGTATTTTGTTTCATACAGTACTTTGATAAAATCTCTCATGCTGTGAAAATGTGAGGTATGTTGTTGTATTAAGTTCTCTGGATGACATTTAGTTACCAACAATCCCATATTTTGCCGTCTCATATGAGAGGTGTTGCCGAAGTTTCATCAACGTTAGTGGTCAGTGGGCAATTTTTTAAAAAGTTGTATGTAGGAATGTGTGGCAATGGGTATTGAAAACTATGATTTCAACAGCTAGCATTACTAGCAGCAAGACTGTCCTGCGTAAAAAGAAATGCAATCAATAAGTGATACATAGTTCTAGAAGCACTGAGACTTAATAAGACTTTTGACACACACACACACGGTAACAGTTAATTTGTTTAAAAAAACTGGGCCCAACAGATAAAAAACACCAATGATGAGTTGAAATGAAGAAAAGCCTGCCAGTGGAGCCCACCGATCAGCCCATCTTTTTATTTTGCAGGTGTTTGCTTTTTCATTGAGGAATGAAGAAAGCCACTGGGAGCTCTTTGATTGGTCAAAGTTGACCACAGTGGTGATGTTTGGCTATGTAAACCAGAGCCTGATGTGTTTGGCCCACTCTCATGGTGTGCGTGCAGTTATTCTGGGTAAGTTGTTACTGCTATATACTGTGGAGTACGCTCACACTTAACTCTTTTATCTCCGCTGAGGGTTTTTCCCTCTCTTTCCCCTTTTTAATACGAAACCTGAGAGTTACATTCCCGTAACTAAACTTTAAAAAAGGAACCTGTTTTGATAGTTCATCGGGGGCTCTCATGTCCTAGAGGTTAAGGTGCTCGCCTCTCTTTCAAAGGTCCCGGGTTTGAATCCAGGTAGCGACGGAAAATTTTTTTTCTCTAAAATTGTCTCCTTTCACCTCCTTTCCCGCTCTCTAGCAATGTTCTGTCATCTGCTTTCGTCTCCACTTTCTGCCCCCACCCCCTCACCTCCTTTGCCCCCTCCCCTGGGCTCCTGAATATTTCTACAGCCTTCTACTCCTTGGCTCCTTACTGCTGTCTTTCAGCCACCCCCCTGATCTTCTGGTAGAAAAGATCTACACATAACCTTCTCGGACAAGGGCAAAAAATCGTGGAGGACCCGTGTGCATGTTAGGCATGTTAAAGATCCCTCGGTGGTCTAATATTGATAAGAGTAGGCTTCAGCTGCCACCCAGTCAAAATTCAAAATTTCCAATCCATTTAAAATGTTTGGTGTGTCCCGCCCGTTCATATGACCTTATGCAGTGGCGAGCACCGGAAAACACTTTCCAAAAAAAGAAAAGATAGTTCATGAAGTGAAAGAACTCCTAGCAAGAGAGATGAAAGCTAATTTAATGCTGTCGTTATTTCTCCTTTCACCTCATCGCCTGCTCTCTAACCATGTTCTGTTGTCTGCTTTCATATCTACTTTCTGCCCCCGCCCCCTCTGAGCTCCTGATTCTTTCTTCAGCCTTTCTACTGCTACCCCTTGGCTCCTTCATTCTGCTGTCTTTCATCCACACCCATGATCTTTGGGTCGGTAAGATCTGGGACCTAGCCTTCTCGGATAAGGGCAAAAAATATCGGTGGTCTTGTGTGCAAGTTGAGCCCGTTAAAGATCCCTTGGTGGTCAAAATCGATTAGAGTAGGCTACGGCTGCCACCCGAGCAAAATTCAATATCAATTCCTACCAAACTAAAAATGTTTAATGTGTTCTGCCTGCTTGCTCATATAACCTTTTGCTGTCACAAGTGCCATAAAACACTTACAAAAGAAAACAATTCCTGGCCTGCCAACTGTCGTAAACTTTTTGGACCCCCCGCGGCAGTGCCACTGACTGTAGTGTCTTTAGGCCATTCCCAAAGGGAACTGCTGCTTTTTCTTTCCTCATCCTTACTATTGTCATTTTCCTCTACTTCTTTTGTATGTTTATCAATCTCTTGTGATCAGTTATTTTTGGGGTGCCTTGATAGGCGAAGCAGACCTTGTGCTGTTGAAGCTAGAGAGGTGGGCAGAATAATAAGTCTGATTCCCTGTAAAGACTTCTCTGTTGACACTCACCCCTTGGCGCTCATATGACCTTATGCAGTTGCGAGCGCCGTAAAACCTTGTACTATTAAATTTAAAAAAAAAAAAATTCTGGGACTGTCCCAGACTCGGCAGTTGGGAATTTGAGAACCATGTCACTGACACTACACCAAAACCAGTCCCACTTGATGTAATTTTGTTTGTAGGTACGTTATCTGATGTTTTAACGTTGAATGTCTTGAATTGGGATTTGTAAAAGTTGGCATGCATGCATGCTATTCTCTTAATATTATTATGTCTTTGGCTGAATTTGGTGTTGATAGTTTGGTAGTTAGGTTGACAGATTCTTAATTGTAAGGTCGCAGGTTCAAATCCAGGTCTAGGTCTGATGTTGTATCCTTGGGCAAGGTTTTTTACATAAATTTTCTTCACCTCACCCCGGTAAGAATGAGTACCCACCTAATGTCAGTGAAAGATCTTGTCAGTAGCCTCTGTGTAAGTGTTAAGGCTCTTGTAAGATGGTATTTGTACTGAATGGTTCCCAGGGAGCTAAGAAAGTTTTAGAATGTTGTAGGGTCTGTTGAAGTATAATAATTATGATGTTCACAGTGTTTACTTTGTAGTTGTGATATGCGCTCTATATAACAACAGTTACTGTTATTATTATGGTGTTGGCTTTTTGTAAACATACATCTCATCAACATTATTCCACTCCTGATTTATTTCTGTTTGTTGTGTTGTTGTTTTTTTTCCCTCTCACTTAAAGACCTGTATTGTTCTACTGCGCTTCACATGTTATGGTATGCTCTGAGTTTTTTCCACACAAGAAGGAGAAGATTGCAGTGTCTATCACTCACTTACAATCTGTTACACATATATTTCTGTTGCTCAAGAAGACTGCTGTCACATGGCATTAGCAAAGTAATGTGGCAATACTGCAAATGTCTCTCTGTGGGTGGTTGACATGTGCTCTGGTGCGGTTTGCTCCTTCTTTCAGGACTTCTATCGTCCTAATCTCTCGTTCTTCTTTTTTGTGTTTGTTACTCTCTTGTAACACCTCTATTCCTCGGCATTTATGTGACCTTATTGTGTTGCAAATGCCGTAAAACTATTACTTAAACAAAGCAAATGTCTCAATGTCAAAGTTGCTCTTTTATTTGTTTGTTTGGTTATTCATGTGCTAATATGTATACTTTTTTTGTTGTTTGTTTGTGTTTGACACATAAAGTGACACATGAGTTTCAAATATGTGGAGTGCTTTTATGAGAGATTTAGCCACTACTGTCAAACCTGCCTTAACGGAAACCTGTCTTAATGGAATCTCCCCACTCCCGCCTTGATATATTTCTCTTTAATTACCTGTATAACTGAGAAACCTGTCCGACGTGGAAACGGAAAGAAAAATCCGCTCCCTTCTGAGGGTTTCGCCTGTCTAAGTTGGAAAATGCTTTGCCTGCTTAGCCCTGATTTGAAACAAAACTCGTAAGTTTGGTTCCGCCCACTCTAAATGGCCATGCTGCTAGACGAGGAAGGGGAGTAGGGGTGCAATTTGGGGGTAGATGTTACCCCATCTTGCGAGCCCTGAGCGATGCAGATGGTCAGGGTAGCGTGGGTGTGAAATCTTACGATTGCCCGTGAGAGTGCTTCAGTGGCGAGCCACTACAGAAACTTTCCTGGGTAGCCAGAAGCAAGAGATGTGAAATTAGTTTGACCAATGCCTGCCGCCCTAATCGTACGGCCAGCTTAGAAAAGAGTTCCTCGAATCGTTGTTACATGAATGCAGTGAGGGGTGGCTCTGGTTGACTGTGCTTGTTACACCAATGGGTGGGGCTATGGATGGAAGCAAAGGAGATGTTCAAACGTTTGTTTTTAATAGGTCAAACAGTGGTCCTATGAAAGGCAAGCACTGGTGGTAATTGGATAAATAAGAGTGACGCATGTCATTATCTGACAGGATAGCAGTTGAGAGATGTGAAGTTTTGACCACTGCTTGCCAATCAGGCAAGTGATCCTTGATCCCTCCGCTGGGCCTTTGAATCTCCCCCTAAATTTCCCTGTCTAAGACGGAATTTTTTTCTGGCTCTCTTGCGATTCCGTCTTGCGCAGGTTGGACTGTATTTCTTATTCAGTCTTTAACTGAAAGGTCAGTTTATCACAAAATTGATATAATTTGAACATTTTCTGTTGAGATGTATATTCCGAGTTGTTCTTGACCCTGTTTGAGTTTGATGCTACAGATTATTTAGTGGTTTTGGGATGAAATATATGGTGGATGGGGCAGGCTAAAAGGAGAACAGAGAGAGAGGAAAAATGTTTGATTTTTATGTGTTTGTCTATGTCAAGAAATATTATTCAGTACCGAAGTACTCAGTTTGAATCTTTTGTTGTGAGATATCTCTATTGAGTTTGCATTTGTGTGATAATCATAGTAGCCTGCAGGTCTCCCCCCTATTGTTGGATGCCTTGTTGCAGTTTAAATCATTATCATGTACGTATGTCTGTCTATAGGTGAAATCAGCACGTCTGAAATGGTGTCACCAAGTCTTCGAAAAGAATGGGTTAAAGAATTGTTGACAAAGATTAGTGAAAATTTCTTGGACGGTGTGAACTTTGACTACGAGAATGAAGTACTGAAGAATGAAACAATGATCAGGGATGCCTACACAAGCACTGTCCGTGAGACGAATGATGCACTGAAGGCTGTGAATCCAAACTATCAGGTATGTTCTCTTTGGAAAATTTACTGATTGTACTACTGACTTTCAAGACTAATTGAGAGTTTCTGTTTGTGCCCTTTTATTCAAAGTGACAGCAAGTTTCTAATATAAATTTTAAAAAATTTGTGGTCATACATACTTACACACACTCTATTCAACAAGTGCATACATGTACTCAGTCTGGCTTATATATCTATATATTTTTTTGGACTCAGAATAAAACGTTTTAGTTACGAAAATGTGAAAGAATTTTAATTGATCCTGAATTAGGATTCTTTGCTCTTTTTTTTTTTGTGTTGCAAATCTGAAATCATTCTTTTGTAAAAGTGCTGTAAAGCAGATATGGGTATCAGAGTCTAGATTTCCACATGCAGGGATGGCTTGTGATCTGTAGAAGGTACCGGCTGTCTCTCACATTGACACCCCCCGCCCCACCCCCATACACACTACACACAGACACATACTGTCAATTTATTTTATACATCTTCACTATTTCTCCTCCCCCCCCCCACACACACACACAAACTGCTGCACTAGGGAACAGCGACTAGTGTCTTATTATATTTCTTTGGTACAGTTTATCTTTACATAATCTCCTACCGTATCAAATTCAGCTACACCAGATATGTTTCATTTTGTCTCGATTTTCAAGTTTGAAAAAAGGGCTTACTTGTACAAAGGACTAGCTTTAAAAACAAAGTTTGTTCACTCACACTGTTGTTATGAGATTTGGGGGGGGGGGGTGTTCTCAATAAAGTGAATAACAGTGTCTTTCCTCCACGTCGCCATACTGTACAGTGACAGTGCAGTGTGAAGGCCTAGTAGCTGTAACATCAGATGCACAATGCAGTGTGTGACCATTTTACCTGACTTCAAATTCAAAATTGACCACTCAAAGACAAAATTTTCAAAAGTTTAGATATATGGCATCAAATCAGGTTCCACGGGAGCCACTTTGCATATTTTGACACGCTGATTCCAAAAATCAAAATCAGTTTTTAGCTGCGATAAATATTTTAATAAATTTTACAAGCAAAGTTTAATCCTGCAAATTTCAAAGGGATTGTGTGTCACAGCTCACCTCTCCCAATGAGATTAGTTAAAACTCACAGCAGTTGTCCTTCTTCGTTGTAATAAGAAACTGCTACATGATGCAATCTTGATAAAATACTTCTTTTTTTGCAATCTTCTAAATCCAGCAATGCGAGTCATTTTGTCAATTTTGATAGGCTGGTTCGGAATTTGATATTATTTTTAGGATAGAATGTAGCTTTCAATAAGTTTATAAACAAAAATTTTCTGTCAGGGGGCCGCATCGATACCATGATAAATGCCATCAGAGACCTAGCAATGTGTAAACGAGACAGTACAGCTTGCGGCGCTGTCTGTTACAACCTGTGCTTCACGCAGCATAAGCGAAGAGAGCTGTTCTATATATAGCCTAGGGCAGTAAACATACTTGCATTAGGCCTGTTATTGTTCTAATATAATGGGTGAACAAAACCAGGTTGTTAGTAGTGTACTCTGAGGTTCCAAATAAAGAGGGGGGGGGGGGTACATTTACCAGATATTTAAAAAAGGGGGGAAGGACTTCCGCAACGAGCGACCACCCCAACAAACTCAATAAAGAAGAGACCTAGATCTATCCTTAACCTTAACCCAAACCCTAACCCAAACCTTACCCCTAGATCTACCCCTACCCCTAGCCCTTTATTATACTCTGTCTCATATTTTTCTTGTCGCTCGTTACGGAAGTCCTCCCAAAATGGGGGGGGGGGGCACATTTGCCGGTTAATAATAGAAGCAGTTCACATACATTTTGGGGGGTTGCGAAAGAGTAGGCCTACTTCTACTTAGTTTTTACACATGCTTATTGCGAGGGATATTATTATATAAATTAATTACAGAGATATAATTTTAAAATTTTTATTTGCAAGTTTTAAAAGAGATCCAAGAGAGGGCCTGGTTATAGGCTACCTGCTGCACATCTTTTTGCTCCGACTTTTTCAGGCGAAAAATTAAAGAGCGGGTGGGGGAGTGGGAGGAAGCCTAGATCTAAAACCTAGATTTACAGTAGATCTATCTACAGGGTGATAAAAAAAAAACTACAACTTTTTTTCTGAATATCTCGCACAAAAATTGTCCTGGAATGCTGTAATCTTGAACATACATAATTCATTCTAGGGGAATTTGTTTGACGTAAAATCCACGAAGAAGAAACTTATTATGAAAACGGAAATGGCTTTAAGAAAAAAGCACCCAAAAAACGCAAAGTTGACCAATTTTTTAAAATCTTGTAAAGGAAGTGAAAAGATTGGTTGATCTTTTTTTAAATTTTCTCTTTAACCTTTAATTTTCCTTCCCTGTGACATTTAAACAATATTTAATTTCTTTTGCAGAGTTAAAAACAAATAACAATTTCATTCTGAAATTCCTAGTAGCAGTGGTCTACATGCCTTCCTTTGGACTCAACACATTTTTACGCGTCATACGAAATGTTCTATGGCGCCCAAACACAAGGACCTGCAAAACCGTGAGAGTTTAGAGCCACATAGACTGTATATATTCAGTATGAAGTGGCTTCTAGAGACAACAGGGAGTGGGGTGCCCAAAAGACAGCATTTTTGGAGTTAACATATCCCACAGGATGAAAATGGGCTTTGCACTAAACCAAATGTCATCGAGCAAATGATCCTGCTTTTCAAGACAATTGAGGAATCATGAACACATTGCCATGCTCTGATCCATGTCACCTCGGCTTAGCGAAGATTAAAATGGCACAGTCGTAGCTTAAGATCTGCCATGAGAATGCAGAATGTTGAGGTGTAGGAAAGTCCTATCTGCAGATTGTCTACAGACAGATGTCTCATTGGACTCGACTACTGAAATTTGCACCCTGGTGACATTTAATGGGCCGTGCTTGGTGCGTGTTCGACCTGAAGTGGTCATTTGTAAAGGAAATTTTTAGTTCTGATTTATTATAGATCCAAACTGCCAGAAATTCTCTTCTCTTGACATCAAAGGACTTTAGGGCATCAAAGCATTTTTCCATAACGTGCACAGAACTTACGAAATGTCAAGGATGGTGAGTTTGTGGAGAGGTAATGTTCAATACAAAAAGCTCTCTGCTCTTTACTAAACGAAGCCATGATTTCAGTAGGCTAACAAAATTTGGGAAGAATAATATCTGCTGACTTCTGTTGACTTGTTAGTAGAGTTGGGTCGCGAGCGCGAGAACGGAACTGAATCGCCACTCTTCCCTGCGGAACGCAATTCACTTCAACGGAACGCGGAACAGTATCGCCTTCCATTTCCCGATTCACTCCCCAGTCGCTGTCACCACCTTGTGGCTTGTTTGTAACTTACTGCTGGGTCGTGAGTCGAGTCACGAGCGCAAGAACGGAACGGAACACTTAGTATGGCGCCCCTTATTTTACAAAAGATGGCATAGTCCAACCCCCCTATTAAAACAAAATGAACGGGTTCCAACAAATAGAAGGAATTTTATGGAGCCATTGTTTTAGTTTAGCAAATCATGAGGAGGGAGGGGGGGTGAATTTATAGGGGTCGCTTATTGAGTTCAGTATAGCAGCGCAACGAAGGGCGGGGGACGGAGACGATGGTGGGACAACAAGAGTGGGACTCGCGAAGTGGCGTTGATATGACACTGTTACGTTTCATGCTTACAACGAGCCCGAGACTTACTGTTCCACGAGTGCTCGCGTACTCACGATTCATTGAAGCCGACTGAATCGTGAATCGCCACTCTCAGATTTGGCGAGCAGGATCCTCCTTTACTTGTTAGACTGTTATAGCTTGCAATATGGCGCGATTGTTGCAACTTTTAGTGGTAGGCCTAATACGAACTGGTGCGTCATGCTATGAAAATGGTGACAAGGTTGAAAATGGGTTGTTTCTTTAATGAGCCTTAAAGAGCAAAACCATTTAATGGACTTATCTAAAATAAATATCAGACAAATTCCTTTTGGTTTCCAAATGTTGTTTTCAAATGTGAAATGCAAAACTTCAGTATGGAGGGAGATATTTACAAAACAAGTTGTACAGGGGTTTTTTTTTGGTTCACCCTGTATATCTAGATATAGATCTACTTAAAAGTTACAACACACACTTTCATTCATAGTGAATATAAAAGGTGTGTGTTTTGAAACACATCTTCACTGTATAATGCGCTATTTAAGCTTTATCTACTTATCCACCAGTTGGTTTACCTTTCAGGGTCTTTAGGAAAACAATAGAAAGCTAATTCTGGTTGTCTATTTTTAAAAATTAATGCAGTTTATTGCACACCACTTGCAGTGTGTGTTCTTAGAATCAGCCATGTTTGTTTGAGTTTACGGCCCCTGTTCCTGTTGCCCGGGATTGGTCAGATTCGCGATCTGGCCCAAGCTGTACTGTCTCGCTTACGTATCTAGGTCTCTGATATACCACCATGATGAGGCATTGGCTTACGGCAGTTGCTGTACCCTCAGAAATATTTTTTCCCTATTTAAAAAAATAGTGTCGCTGTTCCCCAGTGCTCCAACACAAACGCGCATGCGCCGTGCACACACACACACAAACTCTCACACACACACACTCACACACACACACACACACACACACACACAAACAAACACACACACACACATAGATATATGTTTGTGTCCATTGACCAACATAATGTTATGGCTTCAATATGATCCTGAAGAAATAATTTTTATTGATGAATTGATGCTGTACCAGTTACTTTTCCATGTAAATTAAATCTAGATGCAATGCAGCATACTAAACACACAAACACTGAGCAAAGTTAGCTCACTACAATCTCTGTTTGTGCCCTGTGGGCAATTTTTGAAATCGCTGGCTTAGAGGGCAGTGTTCGCACGTTGAGTGGCACGTAGTGGAGTCAGTGACAGGAGGGGTTGACAACAAAGTTGCGAGTTAGAGTCAATGAAACAGAGATAGAGGAAAGAGTCTTTGTAGTGCGACAACACATCAATGAGCCCGTATCATCTTTTTTTGGGGGCCTCCAAATCAGCAAAGTGGTTTTACAATGTTGATCAATGTAAGATACGATTTACTTGAAACAATAGAATTTATTATCAGCATTAAGTCTGGCGTATCCTCTGTATAGACAAAAAGTGGCCGGCTCTGCTGGTCTTGCCCAGTTAACGAACTGCCCCTGTCCTCATGACTGGATGGGTCATCCCTTACTCTTGTCTCTCCAGGTCTCTGTGGATGTGGCCTGGAAACCTAATGTGGACAGTCGCTTCTTTGATTACCCTGGCTTGGCTAATGCTTCTGACTTTCTATTTGTGATGGCGTATGACGAGCAAAGCCAGATCTTTGGGGAGTGTGTGGGTGGGCCCAACTCTGACCTGAGGAGCGCTGATCTAGGTAAACTTAGCAAACCTGTCAACTAGTGTGGTATAATTGAAGTCAGTCCCTTTTTTCCCATTAGTTCAGTTGAAATCCTGATTGGATGCAGAACTTTTTTTTTTTTTAGTCTTTCAGATAGTCTGCTGCCTACCTCTTTAAATGTAAGTCCTCTCAATAATGTGTGGTGTGTTTATTACTGTGATTTGAGCTGTTTTAGTGATATTACACCTTTGTGATGTCATGGATTATAAAAATTATAATCCTACATTATTTTTTTTAGTTTACCGATGGAATCGAGTCATACAAGCATTGCTTGAAATACGATTTAAAATGTATTGCTATGGAAAATTGTGAACAGTTCCTTTTTTTATTCCACAATTTTTTTGGTGCAAGGCTTTTTCTGTTTTTGCAATTTAAGAGTTAGCATGTATGAATTCATTGTTTGTTTGTTTTTTCTGGAACTGTCTCAAGGAAAAAATAGTAATAATAATGAAAATAATAGTTAAAAAAATATGACAGTGAAAGTTATAATATAAATGTGATGATAATCATGGCGGTAGTTGTTATAGTTATAAAATCCACTTACATTGCACCTACTTTGAATGTTACCCTTTAACTACTTGAAGCTTTATCGTCAGAAGTCATTAGATGTCCATAGGCCAGAGTTTATATATATGATTGCTCGTAGTATTTGCCTTTTTCTGTGCTTCTACCAAGTGTGTGATGCCTGAGACCATTAACGTAAGATTAAGGATTAGGAGAACTATTTACAGTCAAAATAAAAAAACTAAGACAACCCACTGATGTAGATCTACATGAAGCCCATAAAAGGAACAAATTGAACTGCCAGAGATGGAACAATAAAACAAGTAGGATAATCTTGACGTTGTGCTTTCATAAAGAATATTTTGAAGTGATCAGTTGCTTTTTGGTTGTTTTGGGTTTTTTTAGGGGGAGGGGGGTGTTTGTTTTTTGTTACGAACAAATTTAAGCACCTAAAGCCACTTTGACATAGGTTCCAGGCAGTTAAAGTTTTTGTTGTTATCAATATTGTTATCATTTTTATAACCATTCTATACACATTAGGTCTGGAGATTTATATGAGAGACCCAGCCTATAGGATTGCCCCAAGTAAACTGGTCCTAGGGTTACCATGGTATGGCTACTCGTATGAGTGCATACAGCTGAAAGGGGTAAGTTATCCAATATTGTGAGCTTTCTCTCTTTTGCTGTGTATCCTTTGTTGTACCTTAATCCCGAACAATTTTATGATACTGTAACTCCGATGAGTTGGATGTACATTTTCAGTATTCCTTTCCTCTGTATAAACATCCCCCCCTCCAGCCCTTTTAAAGAGTTTTGTAATGCTCACCACTGCATAAGGCGGGTCCCAGAGTGGCTCTGTAGGTCTGACCTGAAGCTCGCCTAGCACACACCGTCCTAATAAATACTGTACACTACGTGTGCTTGAGCAGCGTCGTAGTGTGGTTTGTCTGTTATCAGCGGAGCTTGTGACGCTTCAGACATGCTATATAGCAGTGTTATAAAACGTGTCTAGCACGCAGCCTCGCTTCGTGTTCATTTTCTACAGAAATTCTTCTCAGGTCATCAAAATCAGCAAGAAGTTAGTATTATTAGGTGCTTTACTAATTAGATATTGATGCAAGCCAGTGGCGGTGGGTGAACCAAAATTTGGGAGGGGTTAGGTTGCTTCCGCTTTTTTACCACAAAATAGCAAGCAATACGACCTAAACAGTACGGATTTCTCTTTAGTCACGGTGAGCCACGGCATTTTGAGAACCATTCAAACGAGAAGAGTCACCTTTGTCTTCCATCTCTTTGTTCTAAGTTAGATTTTTCTGGATGAAAAAGTTTCCTTAAAAGTGGAAACGACGTGGCTTACTACTGTCAAATCTCAGCGGCACAAACATAGACATGTACACACAGCACTTCAAACATATTCTGTCTATGAGATGGATTAGGCCGTGTAGTCGCGGTAAGTAGAATGCTCTTAACAAAGGTCCAAGTCCAATGAGAACGTAGGTATATGTGTCAGTTTAGGAAAGTGTGTCGTAAACTTTCACCCCATTATCAGGGCCAGGAGACCGTGAGCCCTCAGGACAGTGTTATTTTTACCAGTCTTCTCCCTTTTTACAAGAAGAGTTTCATTACGGAAAGGGCGTGGGAATGGGCTCATCCTTTGCTGAACCCTAAAGACATTTGATTGACTGTTAGGTTTCTTTAGTTGTAAACAGTGACTGGATAAATGAGTGGGCCACCAAGGTGATCACTCTGTGTTCATTGCGCGCGATCATAACGGCTTCAACTACTTATTTCGTTCGTTTAGAAACTTTCATTTACTTTGGGATAGAGTGGGGGAGGGGGGCTCAAGCCCGCGACCCCTTCACTACTCACCGCCACTGACGCTAGCATCAACACTTGACTACAAAATCCCAAGAAATGCACTTTATCATACATTAAAATTTCCAATCGAAAGGTTGACCTAGTTTTGACTGTTCATTTACATTTGTAGGCCTGTGTGCTTCTAGGCTAGAATTTAGAACTACTAGATTTATAGTTCAGGAGTTGAGATGCGGAGAGATGTCCCTAGAAAGGCCTAGATTTTAGATATATAGATAGTAATTTACATCTGATCTATATTTCAATTTGAAGTATTCACCTCAGAATCTATCTAGATCTAGACCTAGATCTATTTAAATATCTGGTGTGCAGTGTCCGTAGACAGATCTCGAAGCAAGGCTAGGTAATGATGAAAGAATATCGTACCGTGTGATGATGAGGAGATTGGAATTATAAAAGAAGGAAAACAGATCAAAGGAGCGAGGAAACAGGATTGAAGCAGAGACTGCGTATACAATTCTCGCACAGGGTTCCCACAGGTCTTTAGAAAAGTCCTTAGTTTTTGTCTAAACAAAATTAAGGATGTAAAGTCATTAATTTTTTACCGTGGGTTGTCACGTCCTTAAAAGGTCCTTTCATTTGGCAATATTTGTCAAAATAAGGTCATGGAAATTGTGGATTATGTTCCATCAACGCTGTTGCATTGCATGAACTTGGCAGTAAAACATCGCGCATGGCACACAGTAGGCCAGCATAGCAAGGCAGACCCGTCAGTTGCCAGAAGCCAACCCTCAGTGTGGCTGTGCTGACACACGGCGAGCGTGTCTCGCGCTAGCCCAAGCCCAATTACAGACCTACAGAGCCACTTTGGGACCGGCCTAAGGTCTTATGAGGATGGGGGACACATTAACCACTTTTAGTCTTGGTATTTTGAATTTTGCTCGGGTTGCGGCCGTAAAGTACTCTTATCGATTTTGGACCACCAAACTTGCACATGGGACCGTCAAGATTTTTCGCCCTTATTCGATAAGGCTAGGTGTTAGATCTTATCTGCCATAAGACATGGGGTGTGGCTGAAAAACAGTAGCAAGAAAGAATACCAAGGAGTAGCAGCCCTACATTCTATGGTTTAGATAGCTTTGTAGAATATTTGAGTGACAACATTAAAAAATTTTTGAACAGACAATGTTCATGTATTTATTTCTGTGTTTGCGCTCTTCTCTTCAACTGTTCTTGAAAGAATGTAAGATTTTTGTGTCATATATCTTGTTGCCTGCAGGACAGTTGCTTCATCAAGAAAGTTCCATTTAGAGGAGTCAACTGCAGTGACGCAGCAGGAAGACAGTATGATTATGGCCTCATCTATGAAGTGTTGATGACCATGCCAGAGAGATACAAATGGAATGCTTCTAGTTCTACACCGTACTTCACATACACGGTAGGATCTTCTCTTCTCTTTCTCTTGTCTGTTTTTTTTTGTCAACTAAACGTGCATGTGGAGAAAGGTCCCAGTCACCAGAAATTTTGGATATTGAAATAAGGGGATGTTCTTGTAGCAATTTTGATGCTGAACACGCTGATATTTTAAATTTTCAAATATCTTGAGTAGTTCTGAAGATATGCTTCGTTTTATAACCCAAGGTGTAAAAACAAAGTTTGAAGAAAAACAGCTTTAACCCTAGTATGTTGACCCAATTTCTAGCACATATTTAACCGTTGGTGAAGTACTACATGTTGCAAAAATAATTGATTTAAAAATATAACACTTGAAATATTATAAAATCTTTGAATATTGTATTAAGAAATGATTAAACGTGTGTTTTTTTATGGAACTAAATTTTTGACATGGTTCAACTTTTATGGCCTTTTCACCCCATTGCCCAAAAATGGTTTTGCCGACAACTAGGACCTTTCTGCAGGCACACGCACAAATTTTGTTTGTTAAGAAACATGAGAGCTTTTGCTACAGAGTTTTTCCTCGGGCACTTCTTTTTCTACAGTTGTCTCTGCCTAAATACACGCTGTACAAATGCACATTCCGCTAAAACGCACGCTTTCATCATCTGACAGGTTTTTGCTATATAATTTAGAAGTACAAACGTACGGTCACTCCCTTTAAACGCACACTCCGATCCGCGAAACACGTCGCCAGGTAAAATTTCACTACAACCTGCACAGCTTACATAAGACGGTTCTAGAAAACAGGATATTTGGTGAGACTGCCCCTCACGTGAGACTGAAATGTTTTTTGATTGTTCACTGGAAATGCATCTTTGAGAGAAGATTTCTGACTGGTGTTTAGGTGACTGCATTGTTTATAACGTACTTGTTTAACGAATCACAAGAGAAATGTTTCTCTGAATGTAGAGATATGATTCTGATGTCGTCCATGAATAACTGAATAATTTACTGTTGGGAGTGGTCGCTTGGAAAGCCATGTGGCTGTGCCGTTATCTGTATGACTATGACTACCACCAACTGTTTCCTCTTGGGCTATCTGTCCCTGACATGTTATGGTGCTTATAATTACATTGAGTCTGTCTTTCTGCCCCCC